GAGTGTTTTTCCTGTAGAAGTGATTCATATCATCAAATCATTGCAATGTAAGCAGTACAAATGCTGGCTGAGGGCTTGTGACAGGATGGTTTTTAGAAGACTGGGTAAATGTCACATTTTGGAGAAAAGAAAATTTGACATTTTTCTTAAGGGAATGAAAAGGTTCAGTTTTCTCCTATTGGTAGCAGTGAACACTATGCATTATAATTCTCTATACTGTGAACTTCTGTTCCAAAACTGTTCATATGTTTGGCTACCTTTGGACTTTGTTACTCACTGACAGACGACCCTTATCTGTAGCTAGCGCATCAAGGCTTCAATTGACTAGATAAAGGAATCCTTTTGACTTATTTGTGCAAAGCAAGCAGTATTTGATAGAATGTCAGTATTTGAAGCCTTGGTATGGAAACGCTTTAATGTATGACAGCTAATCGTTTTAGGCTAGTTCATTTAAATAGTGTATTTATGCTTGCTTTACTTTTATTACATTCCACAGAAAACAGAGTCAGCTGCATATTTGTTCATTTTTCCTTCTATAAAATGGAAGATAGTTCTTATCTATTATACAGTGTTTTTTTCCTTTTCATTTCTGGCTGCCCAGTACAACCTTTTAACATCTGAAGATATTACATTTTTTTTTTTTAATATTGAAGTTACATTAAAGCTGTGTTTATTTCTGTTATTACTGCCAGTTACATTTCTGACTGGTGAAGCTCCTGTATAGTCTCATACCTTTTGACATATTGCTCAGCCTTTTCAACATCATAGGAAATAATCTCTAAGAAAGATATTGGGTGACTGACTTATCGGGAAAATAGAGCTGCACACATATGCTCTGTGTTTTTAAGTTAGCAACCACAATCTACACACGGTCAATCCCTGACAGATGCCTGATAGCAGTTCAACATCCACACAGGGCTGACCCGGGAAGAGCTCCGCATGGACTCAGCAGGGGGATTTATATGATTTCTATCTCTGGGGTCTAAAAAGACATGATAACCTATTGATCTTAAACATCATGAGAAATGAAAAGAAGATTAACTGAAATGCTATGGATTATATAAAAAAAACCCTCACAAAATATACACTGAGCACCAGAGAGAGAGAGAATTATACCTAGATTCAACAATCGCTTCATTATGAGCAGTCATCCCATACTAGGTCAGGCCTGCCTTTGCTCTGAAAATAGCTTTCATTCCTTGGAGTCGTGGAGTCTGATGTTTTGGAAACCTCCCTTTAAGATTATGTGATGCTAACTATTCATGCTTATTTAAAAAAGGGAGAGTGCTTCACATTCATGCTGCCGAGCTACCATTTTACCACATTCAAATTCAGACCTGCCAACTGGTGAGGTCCCTGACATCCACTGAACTGAAACCTGTCTAAAATTACTTTTGATTTATGATATGTTTTATTATCATGGTGGATGTTGTGAATGAAAGAAGGGTCCGGCAAAGGCTAAGGTGCAATGTGCTTTCTGTGCACTCGTCACAATTGTGGTTATTTGGGTCACGGTATCCTTTCTACCCCACTTAATCTGGCCACTCTCCTCTGAACTTATTCATCAACAAGGAGCTGCAATCTGCAGACCAGCTGTTTGCTATGGGATCCCCACCATTCTGATAAAACTGAAAAAAGCCCCCAAAAACCATTTCACACACACACACACACACACACACACAACATTCCCCCTCCATCACATCATATACCATACATGATTCTGATCTGTATGCATAGAATTTCAGGCATTTCATTCTTGCCATAAGATTGGTGATTGGATTAATACCTGAATATTCAGGCAAAAAGGTATTACTTTTTAGTGTTCAGTAAGCACACTTTAGCTGCATTAAACAAAACAGCAACAACAGCATATCCCCATCCATTAGTCTATTTCTTGTCTTTCTTTTTGTCTCAGTATAATTCTTTTTTCACCATCATAACCTTTCTAATGGTTCTGCCTTTAAGAGTTGGCAAATTCTTCCCGCAAAAGTGAATAGGGCAGCAGATTAAATATCTAACCTGTGTCCTCCTGTCACAGGAGTAATAAGAAGAGAAATGAGAAGAGAAATGGAACCCGGGACCTCGTTCATCTATCTGAAAAATACATCACACACATTTGAGGCACAATGTGTTACAGCTACACAAGAAACAAAAGCGCAAAAGCCACCTAGCAAATCTACCCTTTACATATACAGAAGTAACCAGGTTACTCTTACAAATCAGGAGAAATTGAACAAACACTATATGTTACTGCAGTAGGTTAGTGTTTACTGCCTCTCCCTCGTCAAGCTTGTTTTCAAACTGTGGCTTTCTTACTTTAAGCAGGATATGTGCTGCTTCCTGATTCATTGAGCATGTGGTGGAGTGCCCTGTACTGCGAATACACTGTTTTCCTTTACAAACGTCTAAATATTGGAGTAAGAGATTTAGTACTACATGACCCCTGCACCCTAGCAGTGCAGCGTGGGGAAGCAAGTCACCTGATAATTTGTTTTGTGAGCTCCAGCTACTACAATATTCACTGCTCTTTGTGGATTTAGCCAACTGAGATCAACAAGATATAAGCAGATGGTACGTGAGCTATATGGCTGATTTCCAACCTGTCGCCACTAAAGCTAGTATAAAGCTACAAATTCAGTCAGTAAATCTAATCAACACCACAAACCTTAAAAATAAATCAGTGCAACCAGTCCAAGACCTACTATGGATGTGGATTGGTCAACACTTACTGCCCTGAAAACCAAGCACCCCAGCACCAAAGGTTTCTTGTCACCTACAGTGGAAATACACCCATCCATAATGAGTGAGAAGAAATTCAAAGAGTCTCCAGACATCTTTGGCAATGAAAAAAAAGAAAGGAACTAGGAGACATCATGTCAAACAGCCAAGAATTACAGCTGTCATTGATGAGCTAGCTGATGAGCTAAAAAAAAAAAGTGAATATTTACTGTCAAAGAAAATTATTCAGATTGCTTCAACAGCCAGACAGAAGAATGTGTGAATCTGTGATTGACAGAAAAGATAAACAAATATGGATTTCAGCAGATATGGTTTTACTTTTATGAGTTCAGTTAAATTCAATTTAATGATATAGGCCAAATTAACAACAACAATTCCCTCAAGGCACTTTATATTGTAAGCTAAAGACCTTACAATACTAGAAAGAAACCCAGACAATCACTCAATTCCCTTTTAACAAGAAGAAAACCATCGGTAAAAGCAGGCAAAGAGAGGGGCAGCAAGCTGATTTAATTGGTTGAGTGAGTGAAAAGAGAAGAGAACAGAGAGACGGGGCAAAATACAGACCGTGGCATAGACAGACAGAGTTTAATAATTACTAATGATTAAATGCAGTAGTGCTTAAACACACGAGGAGTGAAACTGGGAGCTGGTTCCATAGTAGAGGGGCTCTATCTCCCATTCTATGTTTGGATACCTTAGCAACCATAAGTAAGACTGCAGTCTAAGAGCAAAGTGGTCTGTTAAGATACTGTGAGGATAAGATGTTTTAAGATAAGATGTGGGGCCTGATTCTTCAGGACCTTGTACGTGAGGAAAGATTTAAATTGGAATCTCAATTAAACATGGAGACAATGAAGTGAAGCTAATATGGGAGAAATATACTTGCTCTTTCTAGTCCCTGTCAGTACCCTCACTGCAGCATTCGGGATCAACCGAAGGCTTTTCGAGGAGCTTATAGCCCAGCTTAATAATAATGACTTACAATAGTCCAACCTAGAATTAATAAATACATGAACTACTTTGCAATGGAAGCTTTGCATGTAATCATTAGCTAATATTCATGGCTGGCTCTCTTCCACAGTATGCCTTTTGTCCTGGGATCGTGTGATTGTTGGCATTTTCTCTATATTATTCTAGGGTCTTTACCTTACAATATAAAACAGCTTGAGGTGGTTGTTATTATGATTTGGTGCGATATAAATACAATTGAATTGACAGGTCAATGAAGGTCATCATGTGGTATTTAGTGCCAATTTAGCCTCTACATAAATTCCATCCTTATAGAACCACAAGTCTGGTGTTTTAAGACTGCATTTGTGCATGGACACATACACAGTGTAACTGTGAAACTGTTAGGAGTCGCTCACATAGTCATTTCTATAAGATGAGCTAAAGGGGTCTTGATATTATTATTGCTTTGGCACATTGGAGTGTTGGAGTGTTTAACATGGCAAAATGATGCACAAAATGAAAGTTTTTTTTTTTTGTTGTTGTTTTCTTTTCCACTCCATTTTTTGTTGAAACTAAAACATTGAAGCACCCCAGAAACTCTATCATCAATTGCACCTCCTGGGAAAATCAAAGCTCAGTTAACATTCTGTTTAAAGTATTTTCAAAGTGGCTGAAATGGTGGAAAATATGAATACCTGAAGAAATTCTGCCTATATAAAAAAAGAAAAAAAGAAAAATGTTGGAAGAGGCTACGAGGGAGATTAATAGAAACTGAATGCAAAGCAAAAGTGAACCTCAAAGAAGGATTAATTTGATGCAGAGCTCTGAGAGTTGGCAGGGTTCAAAAGTAAGTTTTTGTTGGCAACGTGTGGTAGTAGTGGGGAAATGTTCTCTTCCTACTTTAAGTACAGAACTTAAGTAAACTAACAAGTTAGACTCTACCACTATAGCTTGAATGACTATACTTTCTTGTGCATTATATTTGTACTCACAGTAAAAGCATCTGTTGTGTGGTCAGGTCAGGTATCCAAACTCATATTGATTCATCTTTATTCATACAACCACTCTTCTATGTGGTTCTCAATCACATCTGTTGAGTCTGTTAGGTGACCTAAAACAGAAGGTGCACAACAAAAAACCCCACTGTTAGAAAAAGGCAGTTATGTTCATCTGGTCATACTAAAAACAACAACAGTAAAATAATAAAAATGCTGAATTAAGCAACAGTTTTGGTATCTGGTTCCAAAAGCACACGGTTATATTCAAAGTGCACTTTAGAGTGTAGGAGAGGCAGAAAAAAAGAAAAAAAAAACACCTTTTGCTTTCCGATTTGATGATTACATCACTCAAAGTGGGTTTTTTCAGTCTTTACAGTTAAGGGGAAACATATAAAGATGTATCTAAAAAGGTCAAACAGAGGCTGACTCAGGTCCAAGATGTTTTCAGACAAGGTTTTGGAGGAGTCCTCCCTGACCAAATCTTTTAGCTTCATAAAGGGAGGAAATGTGAATGGTGGAATAATACAGCTCTTAATAAATCTCCTCATTAAAATTCTATGACCATGTCATAGCACATGTCCTCCCAGAGCCCACTGCAGCTTCTCATCCTAATGAGAGCAGATAAAAGCACCGAAAGTGAGGGAGAGAAAGGTAGACACAAGCCGGTTTCAGAGTGTTTATTTTGGCAAAAACTGTGTGTTCTGGCTTCAGGCTGCGTCAGGTGAGGTGCACGAACAAAAAGCAATTTTGAAGTCCCGTTACAATTTCTACTGTTCTTGTAGAATAATGTGTCTCTGCAAAAACAAGGCTCCTCTAAAGATCTGCATCTGTCAAGCACCCGACTTTGCCAAATCAGACGGTTGGGGGTAGAACAGTAAATGACACAAAATCTCACTGGATGAACCAGAAGGAGCCACAGTCTTATGGCAGCGGACAAGACACACCAAATTAAATAGTGTCCCTTCGATACTGGATAATAAGCACTGTGTCGCAGTAGTCGAGCATAACAAAAAAGCAGATGGCTTGATCTCTGAAAATAGCCATTCTTTGCAGTATCTCCATTAAAAGCTGCCAGTAGCTCCAGAGATGTGAAGCTTCTTTAAATGGTTTGCTCACATAAAATTATGGAAAACAAATATATTCTCAATTCAGTGTAGCCATGTTGATACTTTTTAATCTGTTAGTCTAGTCTCCAAATGAACAGAAGTGAAAGTATTTTTATTAGAAACCAGAAATGGATACCCTAGACAATCTGCAGAGTACACAGTCTGCAGTTTTATGATCATTCTTAGCAGGATTCTTTGTCAGTGTCACTCAAGCTAATGGCTCATTGTGCTGCAATGTAAAACTATTACACATGTACCAATAGTAAATTAATTGTTTTGGCTTAATTCAAATGAATAAAGATACTTTGATATATCTACAAACACTGTCAATATGGGAAAAGATGAAATAAAGTTGGATTTCAAGATCTAAGACGTCACCCGGTGCTCAGAATGGGGACACTGAAGTGGGGTCCTCATCCTTGGCACATATAAACAGAGCGCAACTGATTAAATTTCTTCACCTCTATGTCATGGTCCATCTAGACTGCGGACACTGTTTCTGACACATTTTCACATCAAGTTTTTCAAATGATCACTTTTTCAGTGCTGTAGGGATGATACATGTCCCCACTCACTCTAACGGTGAGGCAATTTCTGCCTAAATCCTAAATAATCTGGGACTCCATAAATTCAGATCATCTGTGTTCCATTCAATCATAAACTATGATCTATTTAATGATAACTCATTTTAAGCCAATATGCTTTTTAAGAAAACTCATTGATAGGCATTGCAATTTTGGAATCTTTCTCCATGCACAGTGTCTGAATGTTGACTTAAGAATACTGAAACTCTTTCAGAAAATGTTGGGGTTTCTTTGCGGATTGTAGACACAGACTGAGAGTAATCAGGTGAGATTTGTATTTCCAAACATCACCAAACCTGCACACAAACCCATCAATATGTTCTCCATAATGTTTGGTGCATAGCTGCATGGATTTTCTCAGCACATCTGTCATTGTAGATTTGACACCACTGTTATGAGTGAGTGGTGCAAAAGCTCATTTTAAATGCGATTTGTGCATCTCAAGTGTCCACAGTGAGACACGTCTGAACAAATCCAATTGTAATCACATTTCAAACCACCTAACCACCAAACGTGGTTTGGATCAAATGTGCAAAATGTGATTTCATGTTGCTTTTTAGTGTAGAGGCCTTTCTAAAATCAATCTGGATACAATCTTGATTTGTCCAAAGTAAGAAAGGCCTAAGTAATCATTTCCACCTTTATGCAATCATTGTTTATTCCAGTAACTGGAATCTGCCACACAGTGGAAATGTTTGCTGACTTCAATACAACTAAGTACACAAGAACACACACAACAATAATTGTTGTAACGTGTATCTTGTAGCAATTAAGACATTTATACACTTAAGCACAGGTAAATGTCAATTTCTCACTTTTTTCCTACTAGCTGGAAATTAATGTTTGAGACAATATTTGCCATGCAAAATATAAATTAACCTTTCAAGCTAACTAATCAACGACCACAACCACATTGTTTATTAGGAAACAACAAATTTATGGGAATGTTAAGCTGCAATTCCTAATAAAAACTACAATCAGTGAAAAAAAGAGAAAATAAACTTTTCCTTTAGAGGCAAAGTGTTATGTTGTTGTGTCAAGTGAGTTCTGCCTCTGTCACGGTGACAGGCAGCAGCATATCCTCCCAAAATCCCATTGACAAGCTCTTTCTGCAATGAGAGATGTTACTAAGCCACAGAGATTTCCTGACTCCCTTGGTTGAAGCGGTTAGGTGTTGCCAAGTACACCTCTGCTTTCATTCTGGCAAAACAATATACTTAATGAGATTCCAGAGCCTGCAAGCAGTGTTCTCCGTCTCTGCGTAAACCCACCTACGGCAGCCCAAGTGCCCACACTGGCTCGTGGTGGGCTTAACATTGTTCAAGTGCAAACAGGCATGGAGTTGTAAAAGTTCAACTGGAATTCAGACAGTTACAATTTCATGCTGTATAATTGAGGCGCTGCTGTTGGCATACATGTGGCGTAGGTCATCAACAGCTGTCACTCTGGATTATGGTTGATGTAAGAGAGTGAAACATGGCACACTGGAAAAAAAATAATATTCTTTTCCTTACTTTTTCTTTTTATTTCTCAGCACCTAAAAATTGCTAGAGTGGTACAATACCTCTGCTGTGGTGGTCACTTCCTTCATATAAAACAAGCTGCATGCAAGCAAATAAATATCAGATGCATTAGGAAAGTCAAGAGCTCATCCTGAGAACATCTGATTCAAAATTACTTTAATCAGTCATTATGCATGGTCATTTATGCCAAATAATCAAAATGGATGGATAATACTATAATAAGAAATAAGAAATACTAAATAATATTCAAGAAATTACTTGAATAAAGAGTGTTCACTGTCAACCACAGATGTGTATCCACATCACAAATCTGCTTGTACAAGCCAACATTTGAGGAGAGAGGAAGTCCTGGAAGTTTCTATCGACCTTGTTTTGTCTTTTACAAAACAAGGTCAAGCATATGCACATCTACGGGCATTCTCCTTATTCCTGATGTATTGACCTTTCAAATCACACCCAATCTCTTTCTGCAAAGAGGCTTGTCATCAAAGCGTTGCAGATAAGCTCAGTATTCCATGACTTTACCTCTCTGAAAGAATTTACACATGACACCTGAGCTGCAAATGAGGTCTCTCATAGATGTGAAGTCAAAAAGAATGCCACACACGTCCCTCTGCCCTGCTGTTGGCATCGTTTTGATCCAAGCGCTGGGAGAAGGGCAGGGGTGGATGGCGGGGTTGTACCTATGAATGCTAATAAATTGTGTCTTCAAAGACATAACACTCCTCTAAAGTCACCTTAAACTCTTATACGAACAATATGTGTAGACTCAAAAGTAGGCCTGAAGATTATTTTCCATTACGGAAAGTTATTTTTACTTTACGGCAGACAGTCCTGAAAAAAAAAAACAACAAAAAACAAATCCTTTCATTCAACTAAATCATGAAAACATGAGAGATGTATGGTAGAGTTGAGAAGGAGTGAACCTTTAGAAAAAGCTACCAAACAAACATTTTGCAATGCTTTGCTACCTCTCAACTTCATACACTCATATCCCAGCACGCAAGCTAGCACATTGTCTCACCCATTTAAACAGCTATTTTGTCTTTGCCAGCACCCCAACTGTGCCATACATTATTAATAATATGCATCACTTGCCTCACTTCTTTCATACTGTATGGGCATGCGTTCAGTCTTACATTACATTAAATAAGCTCTCTGAACCTCCTCTTCATTGAACCTACTGTGGTTTTACAACACTGTAGGCTCAGTGCAGGGGAGGTTAGCTTGACCTGCTGTTGGTTCTATCTTTAGCTTTGCAGCACACAGCTTGTGGTTTGCCACAAAGGGCCTTTTGGTTCATAATTCATGTATTTGAGCAAAATCAGCTTGAAAGGAATTAATGCTACCTTGGATCCAACCAGCAACCATTTATTCATTATATACATGCTTAACTGTTGAAACCAGTCTTGCTGCTTGACCTCTCGGGAGAATACCAAGTGAGGATATGTGGAGAGTTGTGTTGTGAAGCAGCTTGTGTGGGGGATGGAGAGTGGTCACAACAAATTAGTGAAGAAAACTTATAAAATTAACTAGAAGCCTATGTGGAGAGCACATCTTCTGCAAAGGCCAATAGCCTATTTTGGAATTTTTGAAGACAGTGATCCAAAGCTGCACCCGATTTTATAGAGGCTCATTTTTGCCCATAACCCACCACGCTAGCAGAACTCAGGGAATGCAGCTTAGTAGTTTTTTTGTTTTTTTTTGCACAATTCCTCCCCCTTGGCAGAGGAATAATCAAACATGGATTTTCAAATAACAGCAGGATGGAGTAGCTTCAATGTAAAGTAGGCCTGTCTGCTCTGATCTCATAATACCAATATTTTTACCCAAGCTTTACAAATGTAACTACTATATCCTATCCCTATATGTGTATTATATGTTAATACCATATACTGCA